CTACTGTCTCTCATGTTGCTGATGCAGCCAAGCTCTGGGAATCTCTGAAACATCGCTTCTCAGTCAAGAACAGCGTTCGAAAACGTCTTCTAGAAGATGAAATCACAAACTGCAAACAGAATGGTAAATCTGTTCTTGAATACTTTGGGCGTTTGTCTAAACTTTGGGAAGAATTACAAGCCTTCAAGCCGATGGTCTCGTGTACGTGTGCTGCTGCGTCTGAACTCGACAAGGAACGAGAAGATGCTAAGGTTCACAAGTTTCTATTCGGTCTTGATGAAGCCCGTTTTACCACTATCCGATCCCAGATCATAGATGAGGACCCACTTCCTGACCTTAACATCGTTTACTCTCGAGTTATTCGCGCCGAACAACACTTGACTACGATGCGTACTTCTGAACTCAAACAGGATGCTATCGGATTCTCAGTGCAAACAGAGAATACACAACCTGTTACTACTTTGGCTGCTGCTACTATGTCTTCACGCAACCGAGATCCTAACCGGTCATGCACTCACTGCAAACGCAAGGGTCATGAAGCAGCAGAGTGTTTCTTATTACATGGTTATCCTGACTGGTTTCTTAAGCAACAACAACAACGTCAACCTCAAGACCGTGGACGCGGTGGCCGGAATTCTTCTTCAGGTGGTCGTGGTCGGGGTCGTATCAACTCCGCAACTGTAGCCACCACTAATACTTCTACCTCTACTCAAGATCAGATTGCTACCCTGATCAGCTTACTTCAGACCCAAACTAATCAAGTGTCTTCCGATCGTCTCTCTAGTAAGACAAAACTTACAGATGTTATTTTAGATACTGGAGCCTCTCATCATATGACCGGTGATCTATCTCTTCTTCATGACACTGCTGATATCATTCCTTCGGCTGTTACCTTCCCAGATGGTTCAGCTTCTAAAGCTACTAAGATCGGAAAATTATTCTTGACCAAAGATCACTCTTTGAACAATGTTCTATATGTTCTGAATTTTACCTGCACTTTGATATCAGTTTCAAAGCTTCTTCGACAGACGGGGCTGTATTGCTATTTTCACTGACACACTATGTGTTTTACAGGACCGTTTTACGAGGACCCTGATTGGAGCTGGTGAAGAGCGAGAGGGGGTTTACTACTTCAGAGGGGTCACAGTTGCTAAGGCTAATCGGACTGGAAAAGAAAAGCTATCTCCTACAGTCCTATGGCACCGAAGACTTGGACACCTATCTTACAAGTTGCTTTCTTCTTTACCTATGTTTTCTGATTTGCGTGTTGATTTGGATACTCCTGCTTGTGATATTTGCCTTAGAGCAAAACAAACACGTTCTGTTTTTCGAGATAGTTTTAATAAAGCTTCTGTACCTTTTGAGTTGATTCATTGCGATGTTTGGGGCCCTTACCGTACTCTCTCTTCTTGTGGTGCTGCCTATTTCTTGACTGTCGTTGATGATTACTCCAGAGCAGTCTGGACATACCTTATGCTCGAAAAATCTGAAGTTCAAAATCTCCTAAAGAATTTTTGCGCCATGAGTGAAAAACAATTCAGTAAACCTGTCAAGTGTATTAGGTCTGATAACGGTACAGAGTTCATGGTTCTATCCTCTTACCTTCGACAACAAGGCATTCACCACCAAACCTCTTGCGTTGATACACCTCAACAGAACGGTCGTGTGGAACGCAAACATCGCCACATTTTAAACGTTGCTAGATCTCTCCTATTCCAAACTAAACTACCGGTTTCCTTCTGGGGTGAGAGCATTCTTATGGCTTCTCACCTGATAAATAGAACACCGACGCCACTTCTACAAGGGAAAACTCCATATGAGCTTGTTCATGGAGTACCTCCTTCGTTGGATTTTCTAAGAACCTTCGGGTGCTTGTGCTATGCTCATCGTCGACCGCGAGACAGAGATAAATTTGGAGATCGCAGTCGTAAATGTCTATTTGTAGGATATCCCTATGGCAAGAAAGCCTGGAAGTTGTTTGATATTGAGAAGAATGAATTTTTCTCAAGCCGCGACGTGGTCTTTCTTGAGGATCAGTTCCCTGGGTTCCAAGATACTGCCTACGTTAAACCTCCAGTGTTCCAACCTGACCTCGCTGTTGATGATTGGTTATCACCAATTCCCTCTTCACCTTCGACCATCGCTTTACCTTCTACTACACCTTCTCTACCTACGCCTGATACTCAACCACATTCTCCCATTAACCTTACTCCATCATCTCCACTACACAACCCTACACCTTCTCATGTTACTACTCCTGCATCCTCACCATCCTCGCCTTCGCCTGTTGTTTCTGAGCAGACTGATGCTCTCTCTCCAGGCCTTCCACAGCTACTTGGTCGTGGCCATCGATCACATAAACCGTCGGTGCTACTTAAGGACTATGTGGTCAACGCTACGGATCTTCAATCACTCCCTCCTCTCGCTTCGTCTTCATCTGCTCCGGGTCCCTCTGTTATGGTCTCAGGTACAACACCTTATCCTATTTCTGATTATCTCTCACGAGCAAATTTCTCACCAGGACATAAGGCGTTTGTAGCTTCTCTGTTTTCAAACACTGAACCTAGCAATTATAAAGAAGCTTCTCTTGATGACGAGTGGAATGCTTCCATGGATGCCGAGTATACAGCTCTTGAACAAAAACACACTTGGGACGTCACTTTTCTTCCCCCAGGAAAGAAGGCTACCGCTTGTCAATGGGTTTACAAGAACAAGTATCTCGCTAATGGGAAAATTTTTCGTCGCACATCTCGTGTAGTTGCTTGTGGAAATAGACAACGAGAAGGCATCGACTACACTGACACTTTTGCGCCGGTTGCTAAGCCTACTACTGTTCGTCTTTTACTTCAAATTGCTGCTGCGAAAAAGTGGGAAATCCGCCAAATGGATGTCCACAACGCCTTTTTACATGGAGATTTGAAAGAAGAAATTTAAATGAAGTTTCCTCCAGGCTATGAACATCCCGATCCTACGAAAGTTTGTCGCTTACGAAAGTCTATATACGGCCTTAAACAGTCTCCACGTTGCTGGTTTGCTAAGCTCCGCACCGCTCTGATATCTTACGGTTTTAAGCAAAGCAGGGATGATTATTCACACTTCTCGCTGATCCAGGGAAACGTCAGTTTACACATACTGATTTACGTCGACGATTTCATCGTTGCTGGTAATGATCTTTCTACCATTCAAAATTTCAAGAATTATTTGAGTAAGTGCTTTCACATGAAGGATATGGGCAAACTCAAATACTTTCTTGGCATTGAAGTTGCTCGCAACAATGATGGCATCTTTCTTTCTCAGAGAAAGTATGCTTTAAATATTATCTCTGAGACGGGGTTATTGGGTTCTAAACCATGTTCAACACCGATAGAGCTTAATCACAAACTAGCCTTGGCTGTATCTCCAAACTTTGCTGATCCAGAGGCATATCGCCGTCTCATAGGGAGACTCATCTACCTTACGTTTACTAGACCAGAGATTTGTTATGCTGTACACATTCTTGCACAGTTCACGCAGTCTCCATTACAGGTTCATTGGGATGCGGCTTTGCGTACGATACGCTATCTCAAAGACTCTCCCGATCATGGCATTCTTCTCTGTGCTGACTCTGATCTCTCCATTCGCGCCTACTGCGACTCTGATTGGAATGCTTGTCCCTTGACACGCCGGTCTCTGAGTGCTTACATTGTTCTCTTTGGTTCTTCTCCCATCTCTTGGAAAACCAAGAAACAAAAGATGGTGTCTTTATCTTCAGCTGAAGCAGAATATCGGTCCATGGCCGCTGCTTTAAAGGAGCTCAAATGGATCAAGCAACTACTTGGCGCTTTTGGAATCTCTCATGTTCAACCTATGAAACTCTTTTGTGACAGCAAAGCAGCTATCTACATTGCAGCTAATCCAGTTTTCCATGAACGGACAAAACATATAGAGTCGGATTGTCACTTCGTTCGTGATGCTATTGAAGAAAAATTGATTACTACTGAACATGTCCGAACCACTGAGCAGCTTGCAGACATTCTTACTAAAGCACTACCAACTACAACATTTTCATATCTACTGTCCAAACTGGAGATTCATGATCTTTCACCTCCAACTTGAGGGGGGTATAGAGATAATGATGTGAATAATATAAATAATGATATACTCCTATGTTGTAGTTATCTAGTTACGTAGTCCTCTCTTGATAAGGACTCAATGTTGTATAAATACTTGTATGCTTTCATCAATACAACACACGATTTACTCCTTATTTCACAACACAACAAAGTTAAAAGATTATTCTGGAGATATCCTACGATCTCGGGTCTACTTTTATCATGAACATGTGTTTATGACAAAGGGTAAGCTTTAATTAAGTTTTTCAAAACTATGTTGCATGTAGATCTCGTTCTGGCTCACATAACCCTCGGTACAAATAATTAGCATTACGCCATTACCATAGTTTATTTATGAACTGATAAGAAAAGAGGATCACAAAGCACAATTTTTTTTGTTAAGCGTCAACACACAACACATGTCCGAGTTTAATATTTGCTGGTTAATACAATTAACATGCCTTATGCCTAAAAAAAGAATAGAACAATGAAAGTTATGCACTATGCATAATGCATGCATCATCACATTAATTAACTGTACTTAATCTGATAAAATATATATTTAGACTATGAAAATATTTGGCCGTACTAAGAAGACATGACTTGATTCGTCCGTAGCAAATATTCCTCACATTTTGTTTTCTGTACGTTTTATCGAATGAGCTGATAGTTTATTCTTTTCGCTGTAAATTATTCTTCCACTATTTTAGTATTAATTATTTAAAATGTTCTCTTTATTTAAGATTCTTGATTTTGGGATAAAGTAAATTCTCTAGAAAAAGTGCTACATCAAACACATAATATGACAGCTTTACGTACCTTATATAAAGGACCCTCTTATAGACCCTTCAGTACATCAAACACGGAAACTCATCAAAGTCACTTTTCATCTTAACCCAGAGACATCAAGCTCTCTATAGTTATCCAAATTTCCCATTTTCATCCTTGTATATCTCTCATCTCATCAACAAACACTCAGTTTGATATTTTGCGGGTCGCTTTCCTAAAGTCGTTCCATTTTTAAACCAATGGAGAAGATACAAAAGATGATTTCCGGAAAGTCGGTGGTTATATTTAGCAATAACTCTTGCTGCATGTCTCACACAATCAAGACTCTCTTTTTAGATTTCGGCGTGAAACCGGCGATCTATGAGCTAGACGAGATCCGTAGAGGAAAAGAGATTGAGAATGCATTGGCTCAGCTCGGCTGCAGCCCAACCGTTCCTGTGGTGTTCATAGGAGGGCAGCTCGTTGGTGGAGCCAATCAAATCATGAGTCTTCATCTCAATCGTTCTCTCCTTCCAATTCTTAAACGCGTTGGGGCTTTAATTTAAACTAGGATAGTATATACCATCATTTTGATCCGTTTTTAGTCATGGTATATTGGTGTTTTATTACTATTTTATTATATTATAGAAGCTTTTAAACATATTTATAGGTTCAGGAGTATTTACGAAGAAAGTGATGTTTTTGGAGCATTTTAGAGAGAATTGGAGAAATCACTCGATTTGGGATCGACCATGACGATCGAGGTCATCATAGAGTGACTCACGTCGATCAACATGCACCTTGCATAATCGATCGATGCCAAAGACGCAGAGACCAATTCCCGAGACAAGCCAACTTGAAGCCCAAACATCATCAAATGACAATTTTACCCCTGATGAGTTTTAACCTAAGTTTATATACTCTGCCAAAGTGTTTGAGGCAGAGATAGTTTTTCTGTATTCTTTTCACAGAAATTTTTTTAGGATTTATATTTTGGGAGAGAAGATCATCAGAGAGATTTGTGATTGGAACTCCATTGTTTTCTATCTATCTATACTATGCAGTTTTATTTATTTGTTTGTGTTATGAATTGCTTAACCTAGTCTGAGTAATTCACTTGTTAGAATTAGAGTTTAAATAGGTTAGAGGGATTAGCTCCAACTATAGGAATGCATGTTGTGGTATTCATTAATAGGATGTTCTTAATGCTTATGTTCTAGACTTGCTAACTAGAAACTTGAATCTAGGATTATTAGGTTGTTTAGATTCCTTTGAATAACTCTGAGAATATCAAACACGTCCTGATTAAGCTAGGAATTTACTAGAAATACAGTGAGAGTTGGATCTAGGGATCCATAGGAATTTACTAGACGCATCGATCGATATTACAATCAGAAATCGATCGATGTGGAGTAAGGTGAATCGGTCATATTCCTCTAGAATAATCGATCGACACTGTCATTGATCGGACATTCTTATCTTGGTCGACAAACATTCTAGTCAATAGGCTCATTTATTAAATGAAAGTTTAGTGAATTTGTTGTAAAGATAGTTAATGCTCTTTATACCATGCAAACAACTAGATAGCACATATATGATTATAATCCCCAACAACTGAATAAAAACCCAACACCTGAATAAAAACCCTAAGTCTAACACCTTTCCATTTTTGTTTCAAAATCCTCATTTCATTCTTGTTAAGTAATTGTCTTGCTTAATTAGAATATTTTCTGTTTACTTGTTTATTGCGCTTTAGTATTTATATTCACCTAGATTATTGATTGATTAGATTTAATAGGTACCATAGCTCCTTGTGGATTTGATCCATAAGTAATGCAATCGATCTCTTATTTGAGAAAGTAAGTTGGTCCATAGGGTAAATATTTGAGCAAGCATCAAATTAGGTGCCATTGCCCGGGGGGGGGGGGGGTTTGATAGCCTTGAGATTTAGTCTAATAATTCAAGGTTTTTCATTATCTTTTTCTTTTATCAACTTCTAATAAAATTTTTTTTTGATTTTTCAGGTGCATACATAGCATAACCAGAAGCAAAATGGACAAATAACTGCTATTTTCAGAAGACCCTGAAAGCTTGGACGTTCGATCCGCAAAAACCTACATTCCGCATCGATCGAAGCATCTCTTCGTCGAACGATTCTCATCAGAACCCAACCGACCTCGCTTCATCATCGATCAACACAGACTACTCTTCGTCGACTGATTCTGATCACTTGACTTCGATCGACACCACTCATCGTACATCGATCGATACTCAGCCGCGAGACAAGGTTGCGCCTTTGATACTAACCACGAACGAGAATGGAGACATGTATGACTAGGAAGGTCATCTGCGTAATGCAACAGGTCAGAAACAAGATACTCAGGGGAATATAATCCCTGAACCTGATACTGATGAGGCAACTCGACCCAATACCTTGGCAGACTACAACCGTCTAGACTATTACTACGCCAACAGGTCAGCTATTCGTCTCCCAGATGTCCAGAGGGAGAACTTCGAGTTAAAGCCCTAGTACTACACTCTTGTGGCGCATATACCCTACTGTGGGTTGCCACATGAGCAACATATGGACCATCTAAAGAGGTTCGAGGATCTCATCGCTGCTATTAGAGTTAAGGGAGTCCCTGAGGACTAGTTATTGTGCAATCTCTTCAAGTGCTCACTTGCTGGAGATGCTGCACATTTGCTCAAGCAGCTACCTACATGACCTCTTACATCTTGGGATGACATCAAGAATGCGTTTCTGCGCAATTTCTTTGATGAGGGACGAGCTGAAGAACTAAGGATCAGGATTACTACCTTCACACAGAAACCTAGAGAGTCCTTCAAAGACTCTTGGATCAGATTTATGTTCTTCCAGTGAGACTGCCCACACCATAGATTCAATGAAGTGCAGCTGCTCAGCACTTTCTTTAGAGGAATCGCTTTGAATCATCAGATGGCTCTGGATACTGCAAGCGATGGAAGCTTTAACACCAGGAATTTGGAAGAAGCTGTGATACTTATCGAGAACTTGGCGAACAACAGCAGCATCAAGAACACTGATTATGAAAGGATAAAATCTATAGCATTCCTTGGGAAGGAACAGCTGGATGAGGTAAAAGCTCAGTTAGACAGTGTGAACCAGCTACATATGAGACATGTTTGCTCAACTGAAGATGCAGAAGGTATAGATTTAGAGTTAGCAGATGTGAACTACATTGGAGGAACTGGATTTCAAAGGTCTGGAAACAGTTTGGAAACATAAAATTCAACCAGAATCCACAGTTTAAGATACCCTACAGCAGCTACAGCAACAACAAAGGTTATGGAACTTTATCGCGTTGAGTATGGGCCTTTATCTCGCACATCCAAAAATAAAGGGATAAACCGTCATCATATCTTTGGACTGGAATTCGTCTAAAGTTGAGTATGGGCCTTTATCGCGTTTTACGACCTTTCGGGCCGTTTTACGCCTTAGCCGTTTTACGACTTTAACGGGATCGTTCCGTGATACGATTTCGTTTTTATAAAATATCTTGAGTCAATTGTATAGTTCGGTAATCTCTGGTGTTTTGTTTAACTGTTGCCGTTTTATACGATTTAATCGAGTCTTTACGAGAAAACAAGTCTATCGGTTTTTATCGTAAAGTTCCAATGATAAGACGGATCGAGAAGAAACGAGAGATGTTCTGATCATTGTTCGGAGTATGATAGAGTCGAGGGACATATGCCTTGTGTCAGGGCAACACAGATGGTAAGGTTTGGCTTAGCCGGTGCCGGGCTGAATTACTTGGTCAGCTCGCCGGTTTTGGAATCTGGACGGCACGGTCCAGCTTGCCAAAACGACAAGCTGGTTTGGAACGGCCAGCTCGCCAGCATGGCGAGTTGGATGGCATGGTCCGAGCTCGCCAAGACGACGAGCTGATTTGGGACGATCAGCGCGCCGGCTTGGCGAGCTGGATGGCACGGTCCAGCTAGCCAAGACGGCGAACTGGTTCGGGATGGGCAGCTTGCTGGCTTGGAGAGAAGGATGGCACGGTCCAGCTCGCCAAGGCAGCGAGCTGGTTCAGGACAGCCTGCTCACCAAGATGGCGAGCTGGTTGAGCTCGGCCAGCTCACCAGCTTGGTGAGCTGGATTGCACGGTCCAGCTCGCCAAGACGGCGAGCTGGTTCGAGACGATCAGCTCGCCAGCTTGGAGAGCTGGATGGCACGGTCCAGATAGGCCAGCTCGCCGGATTGGCAAGTTAGATTTCACGGTTCAGCTCACCAAGACGGCGGGCTGGTTGAGCTCGGACAGCTCGACGGCTTGGCATGCTGGATTGCACAGTTCAGCTCGCCAAGACGGCAAGTTGGTTCGGGACGGTCAGCCCGCCGGCTTGGCGAGCTGGATGGTCTCGGACAGTCTTGCCTCTTTGGTGAGTTGGACGTTACGGCCGATTTTGCTAAGTTGGCTAGTCGGACAACCGTAAGTTATTTTATTCGATTTTCTGGTGATGTCCATGATGATGATTGTTAGGTTTATAGAGTTTATTTGTTCTCTTGACCCGAGATTCTTTCGGAGACCATAAGGAGAAGTAATCATAGACGTTGATTTCAAGATTACCGTTTTTAGACCTCAACATGACTGCTTTTTAATTATTTCATACTTTTATACGAGTTTTCCGTAATTTTGTATCTCCATAGAAAGTCTACAGTTTTCTTGTTGTTTTTTGGGACTTTTAGCCGTTGATTCCGTCATGACCGATTTTGACCCCAACAGTTAGCCCCCAGCTCGTTGAGGTTCTTGCGAGTGGTTAGAGAATTGTAGGCAAGTTAGGCAGAATTTATGGTTGAAAAGTTCCATTGAAAGTGGTCTCCCCACTCTCATTGGAATGGAAAGCGGTAGGATTGGGGCTGCGCCTAGTGAAGGATGCCTACATACCCTCTTGAAAGGATCAAGCCTTTCGTAATTTGTATTTGAGTAAAGGTTCGTACGAGCTGTTTTCCAGTGAGACCTATACAGTCTAATTATGCGTAGAGATTATCGAACATGGCGATGTCGATGGTGTTTTGTATCAGCCTCGAGACTTGCCTCGTAGGCTGTTTGTTTCGACCAAGTGTAGCCATTATATTTTTGGACTGGTTGTATGTAGCTTCGAGTCCGTGGCGCTTTGTGGCCGTCTTTTAAATTGTGTTTTCGTTTTAAGACCAAGTTTTTATTCGTATGAATGTGGAGGGAAGAATATGAGTTGTCATCTCATAGTCTAACTCTTTTTGTAGATCTCCCCCATTTGTTTGCTTGTTTTAGGATGTTTAGAATCTTGTGAGCATTTAGATATGGACGAAGGGACATGCCTTTAGGATCTCATTTCATGCCTTGAGACGCTAGAGACCAGTGTGCTTGGTTTAGGATAAGACATAGGTTTACGTTCGGTTTTATGGCTTTGCGATGACTAATCGGCGTTCGTTTTGCCTGTTGCAATTTTAACATGATTCCTTACTGGTTTAGAGTCCACGATAGGTTCTCGGCTTATACGACTTGTCTGCTCGGAATCGAGCATCCCCGAAGCTGCTGACCAAAATTATGATTTCTTTATAGCGCTATTACCCTTGTGTTGAGAGCTATCTCTGTGAGATAACTTAAGTTTGTTTAGGAGTGTTGCGAGTTTGTTGTGATCAGCAACAAACTTAGGTGGTAGATGTTACCGTTTCTTGGACCTTCGCGAAGGATACATATCTTAAGAAGTTTTGTTTGTTTTATAGTCGCGGATGGACTGTTGGGTCTTCCAAGAAAGTGATTTTATCGAGGAAGGTATTTTTGTCGAAAAACTGTTCTTCAGGTGTCTACGATGTCTCGCAATGCTAAATATTGGTTTTTCTTTCACATGTCGCGTTTTTTGTTCGAAACGTTCGCGGGCTTGAAGATGTTACGCGGTGTTGCAAGGGTTTTTTCTTATGTTCCTGTTTGCGGACATTCGCAGCCAAAAATTATGTTCATGTTTGGATGTTAAGTAGTTTGATTTATGCTAGAG